TCACAGCTTTCGGTATCATTTCTGAATCTATCAATTTTGTTGATAAGCCAGACTTGTTGCTGTCACTGCCAATAAGGATTGGTCTGTCACCCTCCAATACGAAATGGCATAAGTTTACGATCACCGCCAGGACCGATTCAGCAACATTTGCAATGCACAAACATTTTGTTTGGTTAACTTACTTTTCATTAACGTGTTTGAGTATTAACTATTAGTTTGATGTTGAGGTTGGTTTGACCCAATTTGTAATTGCCTAACACTTTTCATGCGTGTCATTCACTTAGCTGGCAATGTTGCTGTTTCAGTGTTCGGAACAATATGGCGTTGGTAAAATCTTGAATACATTCAAGGTGAGAACATTGAACCTTGAAGTTCTGCTCACGTTGTGTTTTGTTATACTTGATAGATAACCAAGCCTTTGAAGACTCTCCAAGACATTACGATAGACAGAGGTCATACAACGGTGGCAGAACCCCTGGAAGGCAAGGATATCCACGTCACTTTGCCTGGGATGAGAGTCAGACGTATGTGTCCCCCCATCCTGCGCGTGGATATCAACAGTATAGATCCAATAATACTGGACAGAACAGAAGTAGTTCGCATTATGGTCGGGGTGGAGGTGGAAGCAGTGGCGGTGGTGGAAGCGGTGGCGGAAGAGGGAATCAGTATTTTAACCAATCCAAGAGATTCTGAAAGTCTTTTATTTTCACATTTTGAAAAGAGGTAATATTAGAATAGAACTTTTGTAATATATATTTCGACTGTACTAAAATATAAGTAAGGGGGAGGGAGGTTCTTGTCGATCAGCATTGTATTTTATACATTTTATTTTTTTTTTACCAGTTTTACAAAGACTACTCTTTTTACAGATTCAATAAAAGAACATAATGTTTTGGTTTTTTTTGCTCATTTTTGAATTACATTTTTATTTTGTCCTGTTTCAAAATTGTTTTTAAATTGAATACCTGGCAATAACAAAGCTATAGCAGAACATTTTTTGGGTCATGGGTATTTGTATGTATATTTTGTGGATTATTAAAATAAAAATAAACGTTGAATTCCTGAGATGGATGGATGGGTTTGCAAAGTTTATTGGTGCTTTCATTCAGTACGTAAGGAACTTGTTACCAACTGTCAGTGCCCACTTTCTTCCCAAGTTAAAGTTGTTACACTGTCATTTAGAATTTGAATATGTGAATTCCCTACTACCTTGAACACTAACTCAACTTAATAATTCAAAATTACCTGAACTTTTGTTATAAAATGTATAATTTCAAGGGAATTCGCCAAATTTCTGGTTTTTAGGTGATTTTAAATATTCACTATTAAAATTAAAAACTTATTTTTGAGCCTCATATTAGACCAAATTTGTAGTACAAATGCTCAAAACATTTTTTTTTTTTTTTCGAAATAAGGAAATTCGCCTGGAGCTGTAATGATTTGAAATGAACATTTGTCAAAAAGGAGACAATGTTAGTTTTGTAATTTTAAGTTGACACAACTCAAATCTTGCCTACTGTTGTATATCCTCTCTGTAGCGAAAAGATTACATAGAAAAGTGTACTCTTGTTTTATTTTGCATTTATAAATATTAATAACTATAACTTAAAAAATATAAGAAATATTTTCTTCTTAATTAAAGTAACACTCTGAGAATGAGAATTTCTGCAAAAAGTGCTCTCTCGAACATTACAAGTAGTTTAGAAAAATGTTTGTCAGATTTATATTTGGCTGTGAATAACAAAATTTTTTTAACAAGCGGAAAATTGGTTTCAAATTCATATTCCAGCAACGGATTTAGATTTTATTAGCAGATTTTGGGAATTGTAAACATTAGTAGAATTATTATGTTAAGATCTGGTGAGGAAGTAAGTAAGTAGAAAAAAAAACTTTTTATCATCTTGCTGGAATTTGAATCTGTTGCTAACTTTCATTGATTTTTAAGAATTCTATAGATGTACAGTGTTCCATACCAAGATTGTAAATTGCACCTATTTTTGTGAATTTTGATGTTATTACAAATTTCATTCTTTTTTGGGTAAAAAAAATAAATAAAAATGTATTTGTAACATGGTCATGTTTTGCCTAAGAGTACATTGTGTAAGTTTGAACTTGTGCAATAAATATTTGGATATATGTCTATTTCCAGTCTACTGCCCTCTTGTTGATACTTACCTACTGACTCTTTGAATCAACTTTTCAATATTATGAATTCTTTTATCTTATGAAAGGTACTGTACATTGCTTTAATTCCATGAGTGACAAATTTTCACAATTCAGCAAAAATCACAAAATTATGTAGCTGAGAAGATTATACTGGAAAAAATAAATGGGGGAATTTTGACATCACCTTTACATCAAATCGTGGAAATTCCTTGCAGCCATGTTCGATATGTTTTAAATACATGAAAACTGGTGTTTAATCTGGGTGTTTTTTTTTAGTAGTTTTGTGATAGTAACAATGTTTCTTTACTCTGGGAGGAGAAGAACAAAAAAACTGTATAATTTTCTGGGAAGGTAATTCAAAATGCTTGTAATATATTTTGACACTATGAAGTAATTTCCCACTGACATGTTTTAATCAATAATGTGCATGCATCCCTTGAGACGTCCTTTCTTGTACATTAGTTGAAAGATTTTTTCAAATTTGTAGATTTAATTGTAAATTAAATATTTATTTTTTAGTCGTGTAAAATCAATTAAGAAAAATACTTGACCAAATTATCCCAATTGCAGTCTTTTCAAAATATCACATTGAAGTGAATTTCTAATGTATAGGTGCATGATCAATTTCGAAAAATAATTATTCTGTTGTACTGCTTCAAAAAAAAAAGAAATTCTCCATCTGGATTTGATCAAAAAGGATAAAACTTCTATGACTGAGGCATCTTCAGCTTGACCTGCATGACATTACTGTTGTCTGCATGTGAATGCCATAATCTCCTTGTTGAAAGAAATGTATTTAAGTTTATATAAATTTATTCAAGAGCCACATACTTTTTGTCAACAATCTGTGTTGAATGTTAAAATCCTCTAATTGAAGTTCATCAAAACACACTGCATAACAATTTAACTGTTGCCAATAGTTGCGGCGCAATAGATAACTGTAGTTAGTGTTTTCAGTAACTATCAAATAAAAACCAACTCCAGCCAGCTAATAACTATCTTGCGGAATTTTAAAACTAATTTCACACTGGAATGGAAACATACTTTTCCTGTAGAAATAGAAAATAGCACCAAACGACCCAAAGGATTTTTTCTTTGATGAAAAAAAAAGCAATCTATTCTGATACGACTAACTTGATATGAAAATGTTTTTAATAACTTTACGGAGACTTTCTTTTCTGTTAATTTTTTTTTTTTTTTTTTTTTAATCACAGCCCAGTGATTTATACAGTAGTCTCCTGTTTTTTTTTTATTGCTGCTGATTTTTGTAACATCATTTGTACACTGTTTGTATATTCTGTGGCCTATTATTAAAGTTGTGTGTAAATGAAACACAATCAACCGAGTCCGTTATTTTATTTCAGGATAGCTGTGTTTGAAATTGCTGTCTTACCACTGTAAAATACTTTATTTTCACTTGGAATTAACATTCACTATTTTCGCTGAAGGGATGATTCAATGAAAATAAAGTCCATACAAAACGCCCAAAAAGTCTTTTCAGCGAAAATTAATTCCAGCTAAAATGAAGTATTTTACAGTAGTGCATGCATGAAATACACACACTGCACAACAACTGGGATTCTTTTCTATAGAATCCATCAGGTTGGACAAACTCTGCTCACTTGTTGATCAGGATTTCCTTGATTTGCTGTCAGTGTAAGCTTTCCCTTTGATACTGTTAGAAAGCTGTCATTGTATGTATACACTCTTCAATGTGTGTGGATTAGAGTTCTTTTTTGAGCAAAATGTCTGGAATGGGGTTTACTATTTTGGCAGTTATTACTGAAATTATGAAGCTCAAAAGTTCCTAAAATACTTTGTATGAAAATTGACAGTTCTGGCAAATTCATAACCCAAAGGCAGAAAAGAATCCTTGTCTAACCAGGGGTATCTTTTTGGCATTTTAGATATCAGGGTCTGGGGTCTGGAGGTGCTTGTGACACATGCTTAATACGAGAATGCAGGTACCAATGAGGTGCTGCATGCAGCAAAGATGGACAACCTGAGAGGTCTGCGAAACTGATGCTATTTGCTAGAAGTTGGTTTTTGGAAATCACATAACACATTCAGATCCTTCAACCACAAGGATTTCACCTCCAACATTAACATTTTCACCACCAGTTCCCTCTTTTCATCACAAAATAGTCTTGTTTAAAGTCTCTACTTTCCTTCAGATTATTGGGACAAAAATAGCAAAAATTTTGAGTAGGAACTGAAAATTGACACAAATTTTGTCTGTTGGGAGAATACCAAATGAGTGAAAATGTCTGATGGTGAAAAGATAAACAGGCTGGGAGACTTGCCATTATGTGTACTTGGTCAAAAAAAAATAAACAGTTATATAATAACAGCAATTTATTATATGAAAATCATAAACATTTTCTTGGTACAAATAAACACACAACAGTAATATACATACTGGATAAAGATTTGGACAGAAACCAGCAGCTGAATAATGAATAGTAGTACTTGTAGTGTAGATTAATATCTACATGTGACCTCCCCATTGAAGAACAGCAGCATCATGGCATTTTCAAATTTTGTGTGAACGAACATCACATGATGGGACACGCACTGAACACTTGCTGTGGCACTTCAACATACAGGAATGAATATGTGTGGGACCCATATAAAACACTTGGCCACCGCCTGACTAACCAGGATGATTGGTATAGGAAGACTATCAGGCGAACAGTTCATTGGGAAATAGATTATGAAAATTACAACTGTAGTTACAAATGTGGAAATTGTTCCACCAAAATAGATTAGTTTCAACTTTAACACGATAGAACTGGAAATTATTTCTACAGTTTAATTTTTGCATAATTTGTGAAGAAAATTAGTGCAAAAAAAAAATTGTGTGGTTTTTTGTTTGTCTTGTACATTTCTTTAATGCCATCACTAAATGCGATAGCACAGATGGCAGGAGTAAATTGTCCTTTCCTGGGAGCTAAAAAGCAAGACTTATTTTACAGAATGTGCCATGATGACTCTCTTACTTGGATCTTCCTTTTTGGAGGACTACTGTACCATTTCAAGCGCAAGGTTACCATAAATGAACAAATAAAGACAGTCTTAACTCACAAATACAAGAACAATCAGTAAAATCTCACATGTAAAACATTTACATAACTATGGTATGTGGAAACAAGTGTTTCATTTACATTAACATGCAGTGCAGAACAAAACAAAATTGCATAAATTATTGCAGATTAGCCTGTCAGCGATGACTACATTACTGATGCTAAATTCAAACTCTTATTTGATCACAAGTCACCAGAGACGAGGTTTCGTCGTTGGTTTAGTATACAATCCTGAATTAGTTTTCCAGTTCTGGTTTGAGTGACTGAAAATATCAACCAATTTATAAAATAATAGTCAAATCTGTTTTATTGACCATCTTTATAGTGACAAAATTTGGGCAGTCCCAATGCAATATGCATGTAAAGTGACACGTATATAAAGACCACCTTTCAAATATGACCAATAGCCACTCTTAGCAATTGTTTAGTCAAATGAACTTGTGTATAAAAGTCAAAATGGATAATTGTATATTTTGTGTTTTACACCTAGATATCCACTATTAAATATATTCAATTTAATCATAACAAGCTCATTTTTATTTCTTTCACTGAGCAATTGTCATATCAACGACCTCCTGTTCATAAAGAATATTTCTTAAAGTACCTTAGGTGGTTGCTATACACAGGTGCAACTGTATATATATATGTATATCATATCATTCTTATATGTTTTTAGCGCTAGTTATTTTCAAAAATATCTCACCAGTGTGTAAGCGCAGTGACAGAAGGAATGACCACCACGCAAGGATGGGGTGACGATTAGTTAATTACAATCACACACATTACTAGAAACACAGCAGAAATTATCAAAACTGTAATCTAGAAATTCAGCACTATTGTCAGTTAATTGACAAAACAAGCATTCTCATGTCACAAAATGTAAACTGTCATTACTGCCCTCTGGTAGCTATTACAGAGAGGATATCTAGTCAAATACATTTTGTACAAACATTTGGATATAAAACAGGTATTGCAGTACACTGAAATAATAAAATATGTAAAAACATTGAGGGGGGGGGGGTAAAAATTACAATAGTTAATAAACACCAGGAAATTGCTACAGGTATTATTATAGCAATTACCCTCTACATTTTGTTTCCTATGGATACAGAATGTTTGAATGAAATTGAAATGGTTTTATGTAAAAATAAATTCAAACTTTCAAAACTTTTATTATTTGTCCAATTGTGACACAGTGATTGCTTCAAACTATACTACCATACTGCAGGTAAACAATGGAATATGATGGGAATGAAGATTACATGCAGTTTATTATCTTACAATTCCATAAAGGAGGCATTTATGAACAGAAGTCTTATATGTTCTACAAAATAGCTTTTACGATAGAGTGGATTCTTACTCACACATTGGTGGGTTGAACGGTTAAAGTGTTATTGGTAGACTAATAGATAACTACATGACTGATTACTTGTGGAGTAAGCCTAGAACCTATGCACTATCGAAGGTCTTGTACACTTCTACAACAAATGCATAGCAATAATGACAATAACAGCTACTCATCATACTCTGATTGGAAATGCTGTCCTTGTAAAAGTAGAGTCAATCATCTGCAGATTATGATAGTTACAAATGCAGCATTAACATGGGTCAAAAAAACTGAGATTCTGTTGGTTCATATGTCAGTGCATTTACTCAGAAACACATATTTTACAATAGTTTATTACCATAGCTAACACTGCATGGTTATTCTACTTAACTACGCGTATAAATACTATAAACAAAAAGCTCTATTTATCCAACACTAATTTCTGTACTCAGTATTTACAAATGTTGGCTGGCCGCCATTTTGGAATTCTAGGACACATGACTTCAATCGGTTTGGTCACATGATCTCCCGGGAAAGCACAGAGGGAGGGAGTGTCGATGTAACACAGCATGATAAAATGCAGATGTAGTATGAATAATAATTGCTGTTCCATTTAGTGAGCTCATTCCCAGCATGAAACATTAAGTCCCAGAATTCCAAAATTGTGGGCCCTACTTGATATCTATTATAGAGTCTGGATATACTGATTCTGCAAGCCATTTTTTTTTAAAGTTGTAATTTTGATGTGAACTGCTTGAAATTTGTATCAGTATTTGGGGGAGTTACTCTCAATGCAGTTGTTAGCAGGCTGAAAACAAACAGTATTTCCAAACTCCAGAGTAAACATACAGCAAAGCAAGCATGGGGTGTAAACTACGTTGTATTCTTTGAGAATCTTAGAACACCGAGAATTCAAAATCCTCATCCTGGTTGAAAATGATGAAGTACGCAAGTATTGTGAAGAAACTAACTGTATTGCCTGCTAGAGTTAATCCGGCAGCTCCCCATTTAATCTGCAAAGAAAATCAAAATCAAGGTCATGTAAAATGTACTGTGAACTGTTTTATTTTTACTGTGAAAGTTGTTGTAGGATTCAGAAAAATGTTCCCTGCTACGAAGTTTTGTGAAAGTATTTTAACAGTACTTTTAAAAATGTAATATTGAGATGCATGTTTGATATAGAACATATTCCACACACTTTTTTGGCACGAAATCTCATTAGTTTAAATCCAAATCAATAAATCCCATTTGAAAATGGTTCTATCCTGAATGGAGTGTCAGCTTGTTGGGACTGAAAGTGAACAAACACCACTGACAATTTTCTTAGGTATATTGCAAAGTTACCAGAGAGATTGATAGTGAGTGGTTCTTATTTTAACACCCGTTTAAGTGACAGAAAGTCTTTACTACTTACAGCTTCAGTATGTGCTAGAACCAATGGTAAACCATATGCTGATACCACTATTCCAGTAGTGAAAAATATACTGTACTCAATACATGCACTGCTGGCACCCGACGACAAATCAGGTGCGTACCTCCTTGCTATTACAGTGGGGATTGGACTCAGTACATAGAAGAACAGCACAAACATAGGCCACCACTCTCTGATATAGTAAAACAAAAGAATCACACTTAATAAACATATGAGGGCTCTGTCTACACATATCAAAAGTATGTTCAACTATTGTATTTATTTCAATAGAAGTGCATATAAATCAAAAATCGTAATTATTGGAATACTGAATTATTAAAAGGTTACTTATTTTGACCACAGAAACATCTGTTATTTAAGAAAGTGCATGATAATAGAACAAATACAATTTTATATGCATCTGAGAATCTGGCAAAAGGGAATAACATGAAATGTGGTCAA